AGCCTTGCTTGGCTCCCCGCCCACCCCACTCCCACCCTCCAGCCAGGGGCACCATCTACTTGGAGCACCTGTGAAGGTGAGGGCCAGGTGAAGGGTAGGGGCCAGGGAAGCCTGATGTAGGGCTTTGAGGGTTGCCTACGGGTGATTTTTCAGAAAGAGAGAGAGAGAGAGAGAGAGAGAGTGTGTGTGTGTGTGTGTGTGTGTGTGTGTGTACTGGAGAGAAAGAGAGAGGAGAGAGAAAAACCAGCTATCTACCATTCACATCCACCCGTAAGACTGGGTGTCAGCCAGCCAGGGGGGGCCCAGGAAACCAGCTCCTATTCTTTGGATATTGTGGCCCTTCAAGAATAAAAACCAAGAAGAGAGAGGCCCAGGGAGCGAGCTAATTACACCTACCAAGTGACAAATCACTTGGAAAACATAAATACGTTTTCAAGGACACTCCTCCACTAACGAAGCTAAAGTGTTTTTCTTTCAAACCCCAGCAAGAAAATCCAAGGGATGAAACAAACTTCGCTTATTTTCGTTTCTACTCAATTACCTGCTAATGGAAAAAATCTGGCACCAAGCGTAATGAGGCGGGCATGAGCTCACTGGCGCGGGGGTCGGCGCTGTCAGGAGGCTACAACAAGCCGGGCATTTATCTGCCTCTCTATAACCCTTTTCAAACTCGCTGTCAGGGAGCCCACGCTGAGCAGGCCGGAGAGGAAGGCCTTGGAAGCTGCTCCAGGCCTCCGAGGCCCTCTGGGAAAAGGAAAATTGTTGTTGGCAAGTCCGCCTGGCTCCAGAAATTGATCCAGAGCCCCCCACTTGTCCGAGCAGCAGCAGACAGAGCTAAGAATTTTGTTATAATTAAATAGAGTGCTGATTGGTTGCTGGAGGTGGTCTTGAAACTGGTGTTTAAAAAGCAGAGGAGAACAACGGTTACTATTCATAGGAAAAGCCCAGAGTCTTAAAAATCCATCTGTTTCATTCCCAAATTTAGGCCAAAAAAATGCTCACTTGCTGTCTTTAAAAATACCACCTGCTTTGCGATGTTGTATAATGTGCCATTATATAAGGTGGAGGGGGGCGTGGGGGAGGGCGGGCGTGGAGGATGCGGCAGGGTGGGCCCAGCCCCTTTCTGAGAACGGAGGCCCGGCTGCAGAGGCCAGGCAGGCTCCTCCCAAGTCCAGTGCCCTCCTCCTCAGAGACCCGACTGGGCCTTGAGGCGGGAGGAGTGAGACTTACCCAGCATCACCTCAGCAAGCTGCACTCAGGAGCCCCCCAGTGCCAGGCCCCGGCAGTTACAGACCTCTATCCTCCACCCACCTGGCCTCCGGGGCTGAACATCTGGGGGCCGCGTCTAGGCCTGGCTGGGGCTGTGATCTCACGCCACCGCTCACCACAGCTGCGGTACCAGGTGAGGTCACAGCTCCTGGACCCAAGGAAGGAGAAGCATCCAGGCCCCCTCAGCCCCGGTGACAGAGTCCCTTAGTGCCCGCTTGCCACGCATCCCCCTAACCCCAGGGGCTGGCAGCCACGGGACACAAGGGCCCCCACGGAACAGGTGGGCAGATGTGTCAGTCCAGCCTAGTCCTAACAACTTTTCCCCAACCTCAAAGAAATGTCAGGGCTCAGTTCCTCCTGAAGACTCTTCTTCACAGGTTAACTGAAGAGAATTGGCTCTGTAGTCGTAGGTCGCATTTGAGCCACTTTTCAGCTGACCGATGCTACATGTGTCACTTAGCTCCTTCCCGTGACAATGGACAGGGGATAGCTTCTGACATAGCATTTGGGGCCAGAACAAATAGCACATGCTGTCCTAGACGCCAGGGAGCCTAGTCTGGTGCCTGGCAAGCTGGAGGTGCCCACATACAGCTGGAGAGCCCGGATCTGGTCCTCTGTCACCGTGGAGTCACAAACCCGGACACGGACCCAAGGTTGGGAACAAACCTCGGAGCTGGCCGCAGAATGAAAATTCCCCACATCAAAGCCAAAGCAGAGAATTCAGGCAGCAGGCAGTCACTAGAAAGATCTTGGTCTAGATTGGGAGGAATCATGGCATCTAGCCCAGCCTCTGCCAGCACCCAGCTGTGTGGCTTCAGGTAGGAAGACGACGCTCTTGGGGCCTCTTGTCTTCACTTTCTTTGGTCCGGTCCTTCTTCCAGCTCTTAGAGACGAAACAGTCTGACTCTATTGCCTGCCAAGCCCTCCTGGAGTTCCTACCCAGAAGGATAGAACTTACCTGTTTACACGCCTTTCTCTTGGGAGTTGGGATGCCCCAGGGAGGATGGGGCTAAACAAGAAACCCTTCCACTACCTTTGGCTGACACCAAAAGTAGCCTCTAATGTCACTAACATGCCCACGATTTCCTACTTACACCCCCCACCCCCCTGGTCAATTCTTGCACCCTGGAAAGCACGCACAGATACCAGAGTGGTTTCTAGGAGGGTATTCTCTGAACAGTTAACAGGATTTTAATCGGGTTTTAGTATCATTTATCCTTAGAGGCCATTCCAGAAGCCCCACTCCATCCACTCTTTTCACTGTCAACTTCCTTCCATACTTGATCTCATAAAGCTAACAGGAATCTGGGGGAGGGGGTAGGCGGCGCAGGGTTCATTGGAAGTAGCAGCCATCACTGCTACCTTTAGAATCCAGAGGAAGTTAGCATTGCTTCACCTGAATTCTTCATAATCCCATAAATCAAGTGAATAGGGGGCATTAACATTTTTTTCAAAAGGCTTGTTTCAGGACTTTTAGCCATGGTGACTCCCTCCTCAGGCTCCATGCTGTAGACCATATATGGTAATCATAGCTACAGTCTTTTATTACCTGTTCCATGCAAGACACACAACCGAGAGGCCCTTTGTCCCCCTCACCCATCCTGTGTTATCTTCACTATTTCAGTGCAACGGAGAATATACCATCTCTGAGAAAAATCCAGAGGAGTTGACAGCATTGCATGAGAATGACCCTTCCATGGTATGAAAATCACAGTTTCTTCATTCTACTATTGACAATTAGGCTGTATCCAGTTCTTGGCCATTAGGAATGAAACTGCTATGGTCTTCTACCAAAGTTAAACATAGACTATTTGGATATCCTTTTTTGTCAATTACCTAGTCCTGTTTGGTTTCGTTTTGTTTTGCTTTCTTTTGCTTTGTTTTTGCCCACTTTCAATTCATTAAGCTTCCTTCTCTTGTGATGTTTAGGAATGTTGCTCTTAGTTCTGGGGTATTAGTCCTTTGTCAGATAAATGTGCTACAAGTATAATCTAACCGTGGCCCGTCTTTTCAGCCTTGAAATGAGTTCATAAGAAACGCTCTCAAAAAATTAAGACTAGACAAGGATTTTCTTAATTTGATCTACAAAACAGGAATCTACAAAAACAGCTGATACTATGCTTAATGGTAAAATAGTGAATGTGTTTCCTTGAGTTCAGAAGAAAGACAAGGACGCCTGATACCAGCCCTCTTATTCAACTTTCTATTGGAGGCTCTTGCCAGCACAATAAAGAAAAAGAAAAAAAAGCAAGGAGGAGAGTATACGGATCAGGAAGGAAAAAATAAAATGGACGGTATTTGCAGATAAAATAATGGTGGGAGTAGAAAAATCCAAAAGAAGCTAGAGCTAATCTGCTAGAATTTACGTGTGAATTTAGCAAGGCTGTTGGAGGAAAAGGTCAATATACAAAAGTCAAATAGAATTCTACACACTAGCAACAATCAGTGAGGACACAGAAATTTAAAAATAGTTACGGTAATTGCAAAAAACCACGAAATATCTAGGGGCAAATTTAATTCAAGACATGCAAAACCTCTTTCCATAGAAGTAGAAGACATTCGTTATGGGCTGAAATGCATCTACCTCCATCCCCACCCCCAAATAGGTAAATAAAGTAAAAGAAGGTCATGTGGGTGGGTCTTAAGCCTATAGGTGTGGTGTTCTTATCAGAAGAGAACTGGAGGTGCCTGAGTGGCTCAGTTGGTTAAGCATCCGATTTGGCTCAGGCAATGATCTCACGGGTTCATGAGTTTGAGCCCCGTGCCGGCTCGACGCCGACAGCTTGGAGCCTGCTTGGGATTCTCTGTCTCCCACTCTCGCTCTGACCTCCCCCCACCCCCCCACATTCGTGCATAGGTTCTCTCTCTCTCTCTCTCTCAAAAATAAATAAACATTAGAAACGGAGAATTGGATACAGACACACACACACAAAAGACCATGTTAGGACTCAGCAAGAAGGCAGCCATTGGCAAGCCAAGGAGAAAGGTTTTGGAAGAAACCAAACCTGCCAACGACTTGATCTTAGACTTCTAGCCCCCAGAACTGTGAGAAAATTAACTTCTGCTGTTTAAACCATCCCATCCGTGGTAGTTTGTTGTGGCAGATCTGGCGAATTTA